TCATCCATAATGATAGCTGATCATCTTGTGCTTTCTCCTACTCTCTGAAGGAGGAAATTGTCAGTAATACAACCTTGAAATTTCCTGGAAGGACCACGCTTGCCAGAATTTATCTTCAATAGATTGGGGAAATTAGGGTCCACCATCACATGTCTCTTGGAAAGATCTGTTTGTAGAAAACATCATCCACATCTTTCCCTTGGTTGGGCAGGGAATAGTAAATGCCTACAATAGTATTGCTTTTATATGTTCCCTCCTCTTATTTTAATCCAGATGCTCTCTAATATTGTCATGTTGGATTTCTGAAGAGATCAGGAAACTTTTAATGGGCACTATTGTTTCTGTATCCTTCAATTTCTATATCCATAATAGGAATCATTTTATAGGTCTCCATTACACCTCTTAAATCATACTTGCCTTCCTGTACAGGTCTCATTGTGACAACTCCCATATCTTTCTAAAATGTGCAAGTTTTTATATGAGATATTTATTTCAGAACTTTCATATCAAACTCCCATAGTATTCAGTTTAAAGCCCTCCTGATCAAACTCCTATGCTTTGGCCAAACATACTTTTACTAGTCATTTTGGGGCTTAGCCCATCATCCAGATACACAAATCATGGTGCCCAAACCAAAATCTCTCTTGTTGACACCAGTTCCATGGCTATTCATTCATTTGCACTGATCTTCTTTCCCTTTCTGTTCCTCTTCCATGGACAGAAAGTATGGATAAGAAGACCACCTAAGCTGCCAGGTTCTTTAGCTTTCTTCCTAGATATTTCAAGCTCATCATGATACGGCTGTATCTATTCTATGCAGTACCATTTCTCCTCACATGGATTAGTAGGAAGGGATAATTGTCAGTGAATTTTGGAACTTGATCTGTTACATCCTTGATCCCTGCTCTTGGCAGAAAGCACATTTCCTAAGCTGATGTGTCCAGTTGGCGCACATTTGTTTCCATTCCTCATGGAATGAGTCACCAACTATCACATCTTGCAGAGCACAGCTGCATCCCCTCTGCCTTTCAGGGACCCACCAACCTGGCTCCTACTCTGCAGTATCTCTTTTCTCTCACCACCACCACCACCACCGCTGCCCAAAAGCTCTAAGTCTGTTTCTTCTCTGAGGGCCTGAAATAGTTTATGAGTTACAGTGATACAGAACATTTTCTGTGTATCTTGATATTGGTAATCATTCTTGTCCACTGGTTTGCTACCTTGTTTGATTCTTTTCCTTATGGAGAATGGCTTCCTCTGTCAGTTTTGGTTGTAATGCATGCTGTCTTTATTCTCATAAATCTCGCATAGCGGAAGTATGGTTACTCATTGCTCCAACCCATAGACTTTACTTCTAGGTCTAGTACAAACTTGCACTGGCTGCAGACATATACCAGATTGTTTTCAGGCAGAAATTCAAACACGTTTTGAGCACTGAAGGTCACAACCGCATTTGCTCTCTGTTTAGCTTCACTTTTGTTTCCTGAGATTCCCTCAGTAGATGGAATGTTTACTTCTTGTTTTCTTCTCAATCTCTCAGGTTAGCCAAATAGACAAGTTGTTTGGGACTTATCATTAAACTTCCCCACCAAACACAATTGCCAAACTCCAGTTTGTTTTCTCTGTTTTCTCTGAAGAAATTAATATTAATAATGGGCCTCAATTTTCTTTAGACCAGTTTAGACATTTTGTTAAAGATTAGAAGTTTATATATACTAGTTTGAGTCTATTTTATCCTCAGTCATATGGAATAGAAAAAATAATACAAGCTGTTTGAAAGATTAATAAGAAAGTCTACGTTGCATTAAACAATTTTATTTCTCTTTGGGCTTATAAAAATATTTCTATATTGGACAGTAAATCAGCAGCTCAGTTGTTAAAGGTGCAGTATTTAAGAACAAGATTACCATTAACAGAAATCTTATTTAGGCCTCAAAATGTCCATGGGAGTAATAATTGAAAGTGTGGCCAAAAAAAAAAAAATCCCCCCAAACTTCGCTATGATCATGGTGCCATAGGTTTAGAAAAAAGAAATCATTCATGTTAAATAAAGTGGATAGTGGAAACTTTCTCAACTAACTGAAAAATATAAAATATCCAGATTGTTTTTAAGTTCAAACTGAAGGGCATTATTTTGATACACAATTTTATATTCTATATATACACAATTTTAT